TACTGTTTGCTGGGGTCGGGATGACCCGAGATGTGCCCGGAAGCTGAGCGGAGAGCTTTCTGTTCCGTGGCGTTGGTTTCGTTCGTGTAGGCGGACAGGCCTCGAAGCTGTCCCAACACCGTGCTCCACGATACGGCCACAAGTATCGTCGCTAACATCTGTGGCGCCATAGGCTCGAAATGATAGGGCACAAATCCAAAACCGTCAACTGCTTGGAGCAAATTTGCTGCCACGGACTTGCGATGCTCACTGCTATCCCTACACTGCAAGTGCCGTTCCTTACTGCCTTTCGATGACGTCCTGAAACGGGCAACTGCAATCAATAGACCTAGACAGCCATTGAACACCCCCAAGATCTCTCATGATGTAGGTTTTTTTCTGCGATGTTTTTTTGCTGAATTCAGCACCCCATTCCATGTTCAATGGATATCAAGTGAAATCTCAGGACGGAGCCCACGCCCACAGCTGGTCCTCAGCGTTGCTACCTCGGGGAACGGCCGGCTGGGATTACGTCGGTTTTCCGGGATTTGTGACGCTGAAACTCCAAAAACTACCCAGCCTTTCCAAAATCCCTTGCTTAATCGCTATACCTTGAATCATAACTAATTGTAATAAATCCCTTCCTTATAAGATTTATACCTTGAATCATAACTTATTATAATCCTGAACCCTCAACCCTTTTTGTTTTAAGGTCCCTTCTTTAGTTAAGGGACTCAGGAGGTTTGGGTACTGTCGGGGCCTTGATAATTAGAATAGGGTTTAGGGTTTAGGGTTTAGGGTTTAGGGTTTAGGGTTTAGGGGGGGCCCATTATGCTACCTATAGTCTGCATTGTAGTTGCTATATATGGTTAAACAAACTTTATCTCTAGGATCCTATAAGGGAACCCCCAAAAGGAACTACAATGGAGACTATAGGTATATTGTATAATAAGGAACCCCCCCCAAACTAGTGTAGGTAATTATTTAGGCCCCCACATTACCTTCCAGTATCGAGTGACGGCTCTGAGACTGAGCCCAAGTTCATGCATCTGTGGGGTTTAAGGTTTAGGGTTTAGGATTCAGCGCTTTTGGGGCTTGGGGCTGGAGTATAAGCCCTGAGCCCGAAAAGCTCCCGACCCATAAACCCCAAACTCTGAACTCTAACAAATCCCCAAACTCTAAACCTATGAACCCCAAAACAGCACGAAACGCGAAGCCCCAAACTCATAAAGCCCAAACCGTAAACCCAGAAACTCCAAAACCCTAAACGCCTATATAAACTGTAACCCCAGCCTTTTTTGCGAGGGCTGGAGTGGGGCTTCCGACTGAGGAGCGGGCTTTGGCATCGCCTTGATCGTTCAGGAAGTTTCGTGTTGAGGGATTTGGGGGCATAGGGCTTATAGGGTTTACGTAGGGGCTGATGGGTTATGGGCTTTCAGGTTTCGGGGTTCAGGGCTTTAGGGCTTTGTAGAGTTCGGCTCTGTCGACTGCGTGGTCGCGGGTTTGGGGCTTAGAGTTTAGGGTTTAGGGTTTTGGGGCTTAGGATGTGCGGGCGCGCGTGTTTTTTGTGTTCAAGGCGTGGGGCCGGCGTAGGGTGACCGTTTGGTTTATACACCCATAGGCCCCATAGTAGTTCCTTTTTGGGGGTTATCATATAGGATTCTATATATGAACCTCAAAAAGGAACTACTTTAGGGCCTATGGGTGGTGTTGATAGGGGTTTCTGGGGTGAGCAATTTCAGCTCAAGGCTTGGAGTTCTCGGTTTAGGGTTTAGGGGTTTAGCATTTAGGGCTTAGAGCTTTCCGCAGTGGTCTGTATATGCCGTTAAAAGCGGAGTAGAGTATAGGGTTTGGAGGATATCATCGTAAGTAAGTGTATTTATCGGGTATCATAGGGGCTAGAATGCCACTACTTTAACTTCAGCCGTCGACCCTACTAAATCCTATAATCTAGACCTTATGCCCTGGGGTTCATGGGTTGAGAGCTTACAAGGCTTTATGGGTTTAGGGTTTATGCGGGCTTTATCGGTGTAGGGTTTATAAGGATTTATGGCTTTAGTAGGGGTTTATGGGTTCAGGGCTTGTAAGGGTTTATGGATTTAGGGTTTGGGGGTTGAGGATTTTGAGGTTTTGGGGTTTATGGTTTTGGTGCTCAGGGTTGAGGGGTTTAGGGCTTGCGTTTTTGGGGGGTCTTTTGGGATGGGCTAGTCCTTGAGGGCTAGGGGTTGGACTTCGCACAGCGGTATTTTTATGTCTTGGCAACAAGATTAGGTTTGGAGGATACCAGTATCATCGTAAGGTTGACTCTCTCTCTCTCTCTCTACCCTAAACCCTAAACCCTAAACCCTAAACCCTAGATAAATAAATATAAATAAATAAATAAATAAATAAATATATATATATATATATGAGGGGCTACAGCTCATGCTGCTACTTTCACTTCAGGCGTCGACGCTTGCTCCTGAACCCAATACCTTACACTCTTAAGCCAATGCTAAACCCTAAACCTAAAGAGTTCCTTTTTTGGGGTTCATATATAGAACCCTATAAGGTAACCCCAAAAAGGAACTACTATGGGGCCTATGGGTAATTTGGACCTGCATCTTCGGTTCGCGGCTCTGGATGTTCGAGCTGGGGACGGAAGCCAGGGTTTCGGGCTTTGGGTTTGGGGTCGAAGGGGGTTTAGGGTTTAGGGTTCTTTAGGGGTTAGGGTTTAGGGGATTTGGTCTTCAAAGTTTAGGGTTCATACCGTTAGAGCCCGATACCGCTTGACACAACAACATACGATTGCATCATTTTATAACCTATACCAGTTTCAGGCAAGGGAGGTTCTAAGCCTATAATCAAGTGGTCTGAAGCACTAAACCCTAAACCCTAAACCTACAAAAACCGCGTCAGACCCCAATATGTACGGCTTACAGGAGACCCACAGGGCTCATGAAAGGGGGCCAGGTATGGGTACTTAAGGGTCAACGAATCTACTAGATGGGAGCAAGGCCTAAACCTCAAGCGTCCGAATCCTATAAACCCTGTTCACGAAAACCCCTAACCCCCTAAACCCCAAAACTCCTAAAACCCTGAACCCTACATGCCTTAATGAGGGATAACGAAGACTCGCTGGACTCCGCTTAGAGATTCCAGGCTCGGCGGTCTAGTGCCCTGTAAGGGCGACCCTATTGTAGAGCCCTATAGTCTACTATAGAACCACCCTAAAGCCTAAACCCTAAACCCTAAAACCCTAAACCCTAAACCCGAAGCCCTAAACCCTAAACCCCACCCCCTAGTATACCAGTATAATAGGACCTATAGGTCCCGTAAAGCCCTGAAGAACCCTCATAGGTCCCTCTGTGGGACATCTTCGGTACATGAGCGGGTTTAGGGTTTAGGGTTTAGGGTTTAAGGTTTAAGGTTTAGGGTTTTAGGGTTTAAGGGATCTAGCAACCCTGTGAATAGAAGGGTCCATAAAACCCCTATAAACCCGAGGCAAACACCATTCTATCTCCCTTTCCCTAACCCCCCAGGTACCTGCTCTAGTACCCTATATAGTAGGTACCTGGGGCGTTAGGGTATAATGGGACCTCTAAGCACAGCTGAGGTCACCGCGCAACCTCGAGGCTGAAACTCAACCACTCGTGGTTCACCAACTGCAAACAGAGGGGTTTAGGGGTTTTTGTTCTTTTAAGGGCCTTTTCTGTTGCTTGCGCTCCAAAGCCCATATTGGGCAGGCAGTCGGACTACATATGGGGTTTAGGGTTTAGGGTTTAGGGCTCATGTTATCTATGTTACAGCTCTTGATGGGACAATATCGTTCTTTGCTTCATGCCAGTTGGGGTCCGTTTCTATGCGCTGCTTCGTTGTTGCTTTGAGTTGGGCTTGTTTGTCTTGACCGATTTCCTTAGCGGCCTACTCCTTGCAAGGAGGGTTGAAGCTCAGAGCTTTGGGCTTTGCAGTTTGGGGTTTAGGGGTTTCGAGGTCAACTTATTGGGTTTCAACCTAGACCAAAATACCCATGATATGGGACCATACCCTAAACCCTAAACCCCATATACCTCTATTTGAGGGTGTTTCAGGGAAGGTCCTAGAACCTAAACCCTAAAGCCTAAGCAGGTCTGCAGTGCAGCGAGAGGATCCTTCTGCCAAGAAGTGGTCTTGTTTTATAGCCCGCCATACAAAAATCAGAATAGGGGTTTAGGGTTTAGGGTTTAGGGTTTAGGGAACCGTCATGAATAATATTTGGAATGATTTCAAGCCCCTAACGTACACCGACACGGCCTGCAAGCATCGATCCCCCTGCATCAGACGCCCGATGCCCTTGCGAGAGGCCACCGGAATCGACCACCTGCAGCGTGACTTGGCTTTTCAAAGTGGCTTGGTTTAGGGTTTAGGGTTTAGGGTTTAGGGTTTTGGCTTTAAGATTTCTGTCCAGCTTAAGAAATGTCCAGGTTTCTGTGGGGATTTATTGCATAATTAGCGTCTATGGAGTTGGCATTTCTCTAAGGTATTGTGAAGTGTTTGTACAGGAGTACAGTTTTACAGCTTCTCTCGAAGTGGCTCCCGGTGTTTCCAAGGGCTGCATGAAGGTTCCGTATAGCCTGCGGGCTCCTAAACCCCTCCTAAACCCTGAACCCAAAGCCCCAAACCCTAAACCTCCAAAACCCTAAACCCTTTCAGCCCTAAAGGGGATGGATAATGGCTCTAAAGCTGACGGTTTAGGGTTTAGACTTCAGGGTTCAGGGTTTAGGCTTCAGGGTTTCGTAACTAATTAGAGAGCTTAGGAACCAGGGTTTAGGGTCGCTTTAGGGTCTAGGATCTAGAAATGTGGCATTTGGGGCAACCCTAAACCCTAAACCCTAAACCCTAAACCCTAAACCTCTGCTGAGGCTCTGGCGTCCAGATGCGTGTGCTCTCTGTATCATCCCCGGCGTCACCTCTCAGCAAGGAGGCGTTGGGGCGACAACACCGGACAAAGAGCACGAAAACCCACCCCAAAAACTTGACCAAAAAAAACCTAAACCACAGATCCTAAACCCTAAGCCCACCACAAATCTCTAAACCCGGAACCACCGATCCCCTAACCCCATCCAGATCGCAGGCCATCTTCCAGAGACGTTCAAGGGTTTAGGGTTTAGGGATGGATCCTGTGTGTCTGCAGAATCGAAAACCCTACACCCTAAAGCCTGACTAAGCTACAAAAGGGCTCCGAGCCCTAGAACCCTAAAGCCCAGAAGCCAGCCATCCGCCGAACCGTAAACACTCAAACCCCAAAGCCCGAAACCGTAAACCCTGAACCCCAAAATCCCAGACGCAGAAACCAGAAACCCTAAAACGCCAAGACCCTAAACCCTCTGACGCCCTATAAAACCTCAACCCTGAACACCAAGACCCTAAACCCTCTAAAGCTCCAAAACCTCAACCCTAAACACCAAGACCCTGAATCCTCTAAAGCCCCAAAACCCCTTCCGGTTTAGGGTTTAGGGCTTGGTTTTAAGGTTTAGGGCCTAAAGTTCAAGTAAAGTTTTTCTAAACCCTAAACCCTAAACCCCAAACCCCTTGGAGGCAAACGTCTCGGGTCAACTGTTGCTCTGGCGGCGCCTGAGTCACAGGCAGCCAGCACTGGCTTGGCCGTGCAGCGCCCGGGACCCTTTTCCTGGGTTTTTGGGGTTTTAGGGTTTAGAGTTTTTGTGTTTTTGTGGGGGTTCAGGGTTTAGGGGGGCTTAGGGGTGAGGGTTTATGGTTCAGGGTTTCGGGCAGGCTTTGCTTCAAGGTTAGGGCGAGGGTGTATGTGGGATTCATGGGGCGATTATGGCTTTAGGGCACTAGGTTTTGGTTTGGTTGTGTATGTGGTTTATAAGGTTGCATGGGTTCTTAATGGGCATCATATGCGGTTGATAGGCTTCGCTCTAAGGAGGTTTAGGGTTAAGGAGCAGGCTTTGCATCAGGGGCGTATATTGGTTCCATGTGCTTGTAGAGGGTTTAGGGTGTGGGGCTTGCGTGCTTTTGGATTTATCGAGCTTTAGGGCTTAGAGGGTTTTAGGCTGTAGGGGTGAGGCATGGGTTTTCGTATGCTTGTTTGGACAGGGGTGTGCGGGGGTTTCATGAGGTTTCATATGGGTTTACAAAGCTTACCTTAAGGGATCTACCCAAGGGCCCAGACGCCAAATCATCATCACTTACTCCACCAAAAACAAACTTACAAGACTACTATCCTAAGCCCAGGTAACTACCTGCTTATTGTGTACTTGCTGGTAATTTGGACCCTTAGAGCGCTTTAGTGAGGCTGTTGCAACAGTTTCGAATTATAGTGGTTGCTCAGTATCACCCAACAAGGAAATCCTTATGACGTGAACATGGTCGGAAAAAATAAACTTAACATGTTAAAGCTTAAGCTTACCTACTCAGCATAGGGATGGGCAAAGGGCAGTGCAGGCAGAGCCTCAGGCTCCTACACGTCCAGCTGAATTCATACGATTACATGCCTTAACCTCGTGGTCAGATGTCGCGGAAACCAAATGTACCAACCGTCGGGTGGTTCCAGTGTGAAAGCATGTGGGTAGACACTGCGCCAGCAATTGCAATCCCATGTCGATTTCGCGATTTGTACTGCGAATGCCTCGGGTGGACGGTATGCCAGGTCGTGTCTGTGCGCCATGCTAGTGGACGTGTACTGGAAGGACCCAGACTCTGTCGAACAGGCCCGATTAACACAGAATAGATGTGCAGTCGGGCATCCATTACTCATATCTAACCGACAGGAAAGCGAAACCCACAAGAAGCCCTAGCGGCTCTAACATACTTACAATATGAACACCAGTTCATATTCACGAAGCATTCACGAAGACCTACTTCTCAGTTGCAAGTCTTCGACATCTTAACCCTAAACCCCAACGAAAACTACACCCTAAAGGTCAGCGAGTGTGGCCGAGTTCGGGACATGCAAGATTCCAGTCTGACTTTCTGAACACGTGGTTTGAGCCGACCCGAGAGAAGCCGCCCCTGAATCCCAAACGGGTCTAGGGTTTAGGGGTTTCGGGTTTGGGGATTTAGGGATTAGGGTTTAGGGTTTAGGGGTTTAGGGTTTAGGGTTTATGGTTTAGGGGTTTAGGGGTTAACAAGTTAGGGTTTAGGGTCTACACCATCAACTCCCCTAAAATCAAACCCCTGAGAGCCCAACTAATGACCTAAACCCATACCTCCCACCAGACCTTCTGGATACCCAACGAACTGAGATCCGGACCTTTGGGCAATCCTCCGAAAACTGCGTTCGGCTTTTCAAGGTATTCCTCTATTTTTCTTTTTAACTACTGTTGATGATATAAACCCTGCATTACCCTAGGGACCCCTAACCTATGGGAATTATGGTATATTCCTTAGAGAGTGTAAGACATTACGGGCCCCATATTTTACGAGTAAACCTAGCTTTTGCCCTGTTTTCACACTAGATAATGATCTAAAAGAACAACAAACTACACAATACTGATCCACAAGAATGATAGACTATATTTGGACAGCAACAAAACTGAATTTGAATGGGCATTAGCACCCAACAGCAGATCATGGAATTTATTTCTTATCGAGCCTCACCAACATGAATATTAACATAGATGGGTATTGGCCCATAGCCAACAAAATATAAATTAGATAGGTGACGACCCAAATAAATCTAGTCAATTAAGAAGGCTGTTGGCCCCAACATCACGACATGAACTTGGATTGGTATTGAGTTCCGATATCACAGAGTACAAGCTGGAGAGCTATTGACCCATGACAACGCGACTTGATTTCAGCAAGGTACCGAACCTCAACACCTGAATTTAGATGGGTATTGACCCACAAGAACGACAAATTGAAATTGGATGGGTATCGGCCCAAAACATGAAACTGAATTTCGATACGTATCGAAGCACAACAACAACAAACTAAATTTGGATGGGTATTGAACCACAAGAACAACAAAATTAATTTACATGGGTATTGGCCCGCAATACCGAACTGAACTCGGATGGTTATCGGCCCAGTCCAACATCAACAACAGCTGCAATTTGACTGACAATTTTGCTACAAATTCGAGTGTCGAAAATATGGGGTCCGTAATGTCTTATTTTCTGATTCCTTATTATGGGGTAATGTGGGATTTGTATCATTAACCGTAGGGGGCCAAACACCTAAACCATACTCCACCTACAAGAGTGCTATCGAAATCCCACACGACTACTGGGTACTTTGGACCCCCCGCAAAAGTCTATAATGACATGGCTTCGTGGTGTTTCCGTATGTCGCGCTTAAATAGGGTTTCTGAAAAGGTTGTTATCAAAGTTGAATGTGGAGTCCTTTGCTGGAAACTAGGCCGGCGCAGCCTAGCAAGACCTGCTCCTCTGAAGACTCTGGAGCAATACACGTCGTGCACGGGCCTTAGAGTAAGACTAAGGTTTTGGGGCATGTGCCACTATAAGAGTACTGAGCAACCCCAAAGAAATAGCAGTACGAATTCCTCAACTAAGCCTTCAAGCTGCTAGATGACAGTCCTTCGAAATACTGTCCGTCACAATCGAAATGGAGGAGTACTTCCCCGTCTACATTTGAGCCCAACAAATCTAAGCTGAGGAGCGCCCCATGGTAAGGGGTAAGTAAGGGTTTAACATTCAGGGTCACTCATTCCCTATGTAGATCGTTTTGCAATGCATAATTATCCTGAGTGTTCTCGCATTTACACAGTCCCGACACTCCCAAGAAGATATGCAGGACCCTAAGCGTAGATCGAACACCCGAAGCCCTAACGCCTAAACCCCAAACCCTAGCCCAAAGCCCCGAAACCCTCAAAACCCCAAACTCTAGCCCCAAGCCCCGAAACCCAATAACCCCTATACCACCCAAAGCCCCGCAACATCCCGAAACCCTAAGCCCTAAACCCCAAACCCTAACCCAAAGCCCAAAAGCGTCCTCTGCGACTCCCAGGCAGAAACCCGTGAGGGGAAGCCTCGCGGCTCGAAGTGCTCTAAAGGGCTCCCGCCAAGGTGGTTTCGGGTTCCGTTTATTTAGGGTTCAGTTTGGGTTTTGGGTTTATGATGGCTTAGGGCTTAGAGTTCAGTTTGGGTTTAGGGTTAGGGATTTGGGGTTTAGGGCTTAGGGTTTAGGGTTCAGTTCAGGGTTTAGGGTTTAGGGGTTTGCGGTTAAGGGTTTAGCGTCTAGAGTTCAGGCAGACTATGCTACCAACGTTTGCTAAAACTCCCCTCCTAGGCTTCTGTCCGAATCAACCTTGCGCTTCGGGGCTTAGGGGCATTGGGCTTTAGGGCTTAGGGTCATCGGGCTTTAGGGTTTAATTGGGGCTTAGGGTTTATAGGG